CTGAGACTAGCTCATAAAAGGCATTGCAGTATCTTCCTTGCTGAGCTTTCTTGGAATAGGGGAAGCCAGCCGCCATGTTGTGACAACACTCAGGCAGCCTTATGGACACCTCCTGCTAACAGCCATGTGAGTCAGCCATCTTGGAAGGAGAGTCTCCAGCCCCGGTCAAGCCTTTGAATGACTTCTGCCCCGTCTGACATCTTGGCCACAACCACAAGAGCCCTTCGGTCCAGAAGGTCGAAGCCATTCCCAAGCCTGACCCACAGAAACGGTGAGTTATTACATGTTTGTTGTTTTACACTCCTAATACATGTTTGTTGGGCTATGTTACTCCAGCAAAAAGTAACTCTTCTGCCTAGGATGGTGAGTAATAGAAGTAAAGAGGACTAAGATAAGAATTCATTGTTTATAACTTACAGGGGGAACTTTAAAAAATAATAACAAAGATAATACAGCAGCTGTCATGGACGGTTTACCATTTTCAATACTCCATATACAGCATTATCTCATTTACTCTTCACAAGAATATTATGAGGCAGGCAGCAGTATTTCCTTTTTACCTATGGGGAAATACAGCCTTAGATTAAGTCACTCAGCTGAAGTGCTAATAAGTCGCACACAACTGAAAATCAGGTCTCCTTGCTTCCAAATCCCATGCTCTGAACCACTGTGCACCGTCTCCCACCGCGTGTTTATTGACTGAGTGAATGAGTGAAAGGTATCACCCAGGGTGGCGTTATCACATCCCTGAGCCTCAGGCATCTTTGCCTCTGTGGGCCCTTCCCCCATTAAGAAGTATTAAAAATTATCTTTTATGACTATATTATTAGAAAGACTAACATAATCAAGGCTGGACACATTATTATATATTCATTGCTGCGATATTCATTGTCCCCGTAATTTTAAAGGAAATTAAAAGTAAACCAGTTCCGTGGGCCCCGAAAAGTATGGTGCCTCCGGGTGGTGTGCCTACTTTGCCTAATGAATAATTAGACCCTGGTATCAACTTGTATACAACAATCAAACAATTGAAAAGAAAAAAACTTCTTTTTATAGAATTTGTTTATAGAATTTTATTTATTTTGAGAGCGAGAGTGGAGGAGGGACAGAGAGAGAGAGAGAGAGAGAGAGAGAGAGAGAGAGAGAGAATCTCAAGCAGGTTCCACTCTGTCAGTGCAGAGCTCCATGCAAGGCTCAAACCCAGAAGCTGTGAGATCATGACCTGAGCTGAGATCAAGAGTCAGATGCTTAACCGACTGAGCCACCCGGGTTCCCTGAAAAAAAGAAAAACTTTTTGATGTCACATGTTGAAAGGCAGATAAATAATCCCCATTGATTCTGCTTTTTTTCTCCTAAACAGAAAGGGCACAGGGCAGTAGGAAACGATCACAACGCATGGGGGTTGCTCTGTGGGGGAGCAGAATATACTGTGTGTGCGGTGCTCAGTCTAGAAAGCGGAAAGAGAGGACGTCAGGGTAGGAATGAAGTCTGCCTCCTGAGAGAAGCCGGCAGTGCCTCTGTGCTCAGCTGTTCTGGAACGAACAGAGTCCCGTGCACAGTTTTGAGACGCTGCTCCCATACCCCACCTTGACTGGGATACGACTGCCTCATTCCTATGAAGGTTAGATGCCGTGGGCAGTGGGGCAGCACTCGGCAGTTAAGTGCCCAGAGGGGCATGGAGGAATGACAAAGTAAAGAACGGTGACTTGAGGTCTGCGACCAGCCTCAGCTTCTCCACTCCATAACTCTGTGGTCTTAGATGACCTAACTTTGTGGCAGCTGAGTTTTATCAACTGGAAGCTGAGGGCTGGTGGCAAAGACAGCTCTCACCAAATATCCTTAGGCTCCCCTGGATTTCACAGCCAGCGGACCGAGAACAGAACCCACACGTGTCCACTTGAGGGTAAGGCGAGTAAAGCTGCTGTATTTCCATATATCTCTTCCCCTCTCACAGCCACCTTGGAAGCCGCCGACAGAGACGTTAGGCCAACCTGGCTGGGCCGTGATGCTTAAATAAGAAGATGAAGAGAAAGCATCAAAACAGTGTCCAGAAGAGGGGACTGACTTAATAACCACTGGTTTCTTTCTCTACTGTCAAAAACTGCATTTTTTTCCCTCAAAGAATTAAGTCACTGCCCAGGAACTGTGATTTGGCCCTTTCTGATAATATTTCAATGTTGGGACCGGGCCACAGAATTCCAAAGAAGAGGAGGGATGTACACAGCCCTGTTACCAGAGGCCCTCCGCCTTCCTAAGTGCCTCTATCACCCACAGAAATCAGTACCGACATGCCGGAGTGCAGGAAATGGCAGGTGATGGGGGTGGGGAAGGTAGAGAGAGAGTATTCCTGGCATATTATTTTAAATTTCTGTTTGGGGATCTTAATACTAGAAAGCTGGCTCAGCAGCATCTCCCAGGCATTTGCGTGAGGGCTGGCTGAAGCCTAAAGACGCAGGCCGCTCTCCAACACCCTCACATCTACAGTCTCAGCATCACGGGACTCGAGACCCCCAGGCCTGGCCTAGACTGATACCAGAGAACTTGCAGCACCCAAAGCAGGGAACTGGGTTGGCAGGGGGCCCACTGCAAGTGGAAAATCACAGTACTTCGCCCTGCCCCCCAGAGCTCCTCTTCCCCACCCACAGGCCACCCCGGATTGGCCAGGCTCCTGTTCACTCACTTCTCGGTATCACCTGCTGGAACCGGGTCTGTCAAAAATAAACACCAAACCCCGGCTTGGCAAGCCTTTCTGGCGTCCATTTCACCATGATTTCTCTAGGTGCACGTTGGATGAATGTAGCTATTAAAAGTCAGCCCTACCTCGCAATCAGACAGAAAAGCTATAATCACCCCAGGCATTTCCAAAGGACCTTTCAAAGAACATCATTAATTCTGAATAAAGCTCTCCCCTACCAACACTTTCCAATTATAGTCTTGACATTCCTATTTTATGCTACAAAATCTCTCTGCCATTTAATGAAGAGGGGGGAAAAAAAAGCCTGCTTTTTAAAACACATATGTTTGAGTAGCCTACGTATCTGAGTTAACTTTCCAAAATTAAAACACAGCTAACAATAGAAAACTCACTGTCCCTTTCCTCTGCCCCACCCCCATCGGCAGTCCTTCCTTGGCCATAGGCAGTAGCCCTCCCCCCCCCACCCGCCCCCTCCACTATCCATGGTTTCAGCTTTCTGAAGTTTCAGTTATCTGAGATCAACCACAGTCCGGAAGCAGATGACCCTCTTGATTTATCCGGGTCAACAGGAGCCTAACACTATGTCACAATGCCTGCATCATCATTTCACTTCACCCCATCTGGTAGCCATTTTACCATCTCACATCATCACAAGAGGAAGGATGGGTATAGTAAAATATTCGGAGAGAGAGGCTGCATTCACACAACTTTTATTGTTATAATGTTATAATGTTCTATTTTATTATTATATATATTATGGGGCACCTGGGTGGCTAGTCGATTAAGCATCAGACTTAAGCTCAGGTCATGATCTCGGGGTCAGTGAGTTCAAGCCCCAGGTCGGGCTCCCTGCTGACAGCTCAGATCCTGGAGCCTGCTTCGGATTCTGTGTCTCCTTCTCTCTGTCTCTCTCTCTGCTCTCCCCCTCACTCCCCCCCCCACCCCCGCTTGCTTGGGTGTGCATGCACTCTCTCTCTTGAGAAATGTTAAAAAAAATGTAGGTATGTTGCTATCCCTGTGCCTAGTTTATAAATTAAAATCTATCTTAGGCATGTATAGGAAAAGACCAGTATACATGGTTCAGTGCTATCCAAGGTTTCAGGCATCCATGGGGAGCCTGAAAGGTATCCAAGCGGGGCGGGGTGCGGGGAGGGCTTGGAAGGTATCCCTGTGGACAAAGGGCAACCACTCTATTGTATCTGGGAAGGGGCAGTAAGTCCTGTTTTTATTCTCCAGGACTTTGAGCCTGCCCCACCCCCCACCCCTTAACAGGGAAAGTCGGGGGCTTGCAGGGTGAGGAGGGAGCTGACTCTACTAGATCCCGGCCCAAAGGCAGAAAGGTCCAACTTTAACTACAAGCAGAGAAGTTCTGCCAAATGCACAGCCCTGCATCTCATTCATTTCCAGGTCCTGCCCAGTGCACACGGCATGGCCGGGCGTCGTTGATCTCTATTCTGCCGCCCCGTGTGCCTGGCGCCTCACGTTCTTCATCTCATGTGATCCTTTCTCACCATGAAGTAGGAATGAACTTGTTTAAAGGTATGGGAAAGAGGCCCACAGACATTAAGGAACCGCCCCCAGTGTCCCAGCTGGGGTTTGAACTCACGGTTCTATGTCGTTCCGAAGTCACTAGAGGAAAGCACTGAGGTTGGGGTAGTGAAAGGAAAGGGACGCTTGGGTTCTGTTTTACGCTCATTTCCCTCTTTGGCAGGGAGCTGGCTGATAGAGTTGGAGGTTTAGTGTGTGGACTGCAGAGCACGGACCAGGGTGTGGTGGGGACGAAACATACAGAAATGTGCTCATTTGCGGGACGCAGATTTCCAGCCCGCCGCAGTCCCGCTCTGTTTAGTCGGGACCGGGAAGCTGGCGGCTGCACGATTCACACGGACACAGTCACTCCCCCGGAAAGCACCCGAGGGCGCGGCCGATCGGCGTGCCCTCACTACTGCCGGGACACGCTGCCCCTGTGAGCCCCCCTCAGCTTCGTGGATTAGCGGTGGGAGCGCCCCCGCCAGCCCCAGTGTGCGGGTGGGGAAACCCCTTCCCCCGCGCGTCAGGTCCGCAGGTGGCCAGCGGGTGCGCGCCTGGGGCAGGCGATGCGCCCCTCCGCACGCGCTCCGGGAGAGCAGATGGCAAACTCCCTGTGCGCTCCAGGTGCGCTGGCGGCCAGCCTTGCCGCCAGCCTTCCGGCGCGCGCCACAAGTGTGCAAGCTTTCGCCGCCAACTCTCCCCGTAGCCGAGCTGCTTCCCCACCCAGCGACCCCCTCCTCCAGCCCCCCCGTGCCGCAGCACGCTCGCTCCTCACCTGCACCGTGGCCGGCAGCGGCAGCACAGCCCCGCGGCGGCGGCCGAAACGGAACTTGGCCGCCTTGTAGATCTTCCAGTAGACGAAGAGCACCACGCCAAGCGGCAGGTAGAAGGCACCGCAGGTGGAGAAGACGGCGTAGGAGGGTTCCTGGCTCACCTGGCAGCGCTGGCGCCGTGGGTCGTACGCCTCGCCCCAGCCAAAGAGCAGCGGCGCCAGGGCGATGAGCGCCGAGAGCGCCCAGGTGAGCGCGATCATGAGCGCGGAGGCGCGGCGGCGGGTGCGCAGCGTGTACTGCAGGTGGCGCGTGATGGTCCAGTAGCGGTCCAGGGCGATGGCCGCCACGTTCCAGATGCTGGCGGTGCAGCACAGCACGTCGAAGGAGATCCACACGTGGCACAGGCTCCGGCCCAGCAGCCAACGTCGCCCGGCCGACAGCTCGCTCACCAGGCTCAGGGGCATCACCAGCGCGGCCACGAGTACGTCCGACACGGCCGTCGAGGCCACCAAGTTATGAGGCACACGATGGAAGGCGCGGACGCGCAGGATGGTGACCAGAACCAGCAGGTTCCACAGGAAAGTGGCCGCGATCAGCAGCACCAGCAGCGTCACCACCAGCACCGTGAAGACGGAGAAAGGCGGCTCGCGGCCGGGCAGGGCGGCCCCGCCTGGGGTCGACCCGATGACCCCGCCGGGGCTTGGGCTGAAGCTGCCGGCCTCGGATCCCAGGGGCAGGGAGTCGCCGGTGGCGGCCACCGTGAGGTTAGCTGCTTCCATGGCGCGCGGCGCGCGGGATCCTGGTTTCCCGGCAGGGGACACACGCGCGCGGCCCGGGGCTCGGTGTGGACCGGGCGGGTGGGGGCGTGGAAGGGGTCGCCGCGTGCCCTGGGAGGACAGAGCGGGGCCCAGGTCGCCCCACCCTGTCCCTCTTTGGGCCGCAGCCCACGCTTTGGCTCCTCTGCCGGGAGCCCTCGTGGACCTCTTTTCCAGTGGAAGAAAAAAGAGTGGGACCCCTCTGGAGTCCAGCTCAGCTCGGCGCCAGTCCCTCCCACCTCTCTGCGCCGTCCCCGGGGCAACGGGCTGTCACAGGGCTGGGAATCCGGGAGCGCCGCGGAGTGTCCGCGCGCAGGGGCGGGTTTGGAGAGTTGCCCCCTCCCGCAGCCGGCCGCGGCAGGAGCCTGGCTGCAACCGGGTGGGCGGGTGGGGGTGGCCTGAGGACCCGCCAGCACCAGCCAGGCCTTCACGCAGCCCCACCGACCCCCACCGCCCCCCACCGCCTCCGCCGGGCGGAGAGAACCCTAACTGCGGTTGTCTCCGGAGAAGGTTCATGATCGCGCAGCAATGCCGTAGCCACCACCTTCTCGGATCCCTGGGATCCGAGAGACAGAGAGACAGAGGCGCCCACCCTCTCTCCTGGCGAGGAGGAGTTCTGGTTTCCTCCAATGACGATCCTACGTATACCCGAACTAGGTACCGAGGTACAGACAACAGCAAGCCCCTAAAGCCGGCTCCACTCGGAGCACTTCTGACCGGCAGGGGCTTCACGGTGCCTTGAGAAGTTCACTCCGGGAAGAAAGGACGCTACTTCTAGGCAGTTTGGCAGGCGCCCCCAACGGGGAGCGTTTGCAACCTGTCCCCTGACCCCAACCCTGCCCACCAACACCTGTCCGCCGGCCCCAGCCCTGCCGCCATATCCCTGTTTGTCCTTCCCTCCCTGCCCTTTGCTGTTGCTGACATCCCTGACCATACTCTATGTCTTCCAGGCTAAGGCTGGGGTTATTTTTGTTGACCTGTGAGCAAAGGTAGACACCAATTAGAAAGGTGAGATCACCCTAACCTTCCACCCCACCCTGCTCCCCATTTTCAGTCTCATGCTTTTGAATAATAGTTCAACAATAATTAAATCAACCCAGTGCCGGCACTACTTCTGTGCCCGGGAATCAAAACAGGAACACAGAGCCCAAACGGCCCCTTTTCTTTTCACCGCGGCAGAGGGACAGTCACCCACCGGCTTCTTTCTGACACCGGAGGAACAGCCTCAGGCTAAGCAGGGTGCTCAGAACAGCCAGAGTGGGCACGGCACTGAGTCAGCTCCCAGAGAGAGACTTTCTGGAAAAGTCCCCTGAGACCGTAGCAGGTGGAAGGGGTTTCTTCCCCTGAGCAGTCCACTCCTGGCACCTGGGGCAATCTTTGGGGATCCGGACCCGGCAGGGAGGACGTCCCAAGAACGTCCTTTTCCTCTGCGCTCCCTTCTTCATCCATTCGCTTTGTAGATGCTCTCTGCTGTCTGCATACCCTGCCTGGCGGTTCTTGCTTACACACTCATACTTGATAGCACACTCCTAGGGCATAAAAAGCAACAGGCAAGGAAGTCAAAAACACTTACAGGCAGGGGCACCTGGGTGGCTCAGTCGGTTGGGCGTCCGACTTCGGCTTGGGCCATGATCTGGTGGTTTGTGAGTTCAAGCCCCACGTCAGGCTCTGTGTTGACAGCTCAGAACCTGGAGCCTGCTTGGATTCTATGTCTCTGTCTCTCCTTGCTCATTCTCTCTCTCTCTCTCTCTCTCTCTCTCTCTCTCTCAAAAATAAACATAAAAAAATTTTTTTTAATACAGGCATAAGTGTCAAGTGATCGATAAAATGATCAGAAATGGCCTGTTCAGTGACCGTAGAGACAGAGGATGCTGGGGTCAGAGACAAGGCTTTGCACTTACTGAAGCGCAGGGAAGGGGTGTGGATATTGGACAAGATGAACGGAAGGTTGGACCTGGCAGGGGCGTGAAAGTCTGGGGTCAAGGGGACAGATATGCAGGTGTAAATGACAAGGAGCAGGGTTTGCATGTGGCCATGGAAAAAGCTGGATGCTGGGCGGTTTGGGGACAGTGCCCATGATGAGCAGAAAACGGGGACGGGCCTTTGAAATACTTTCACAATAGTCTCCCCCTTCTATTGGACAAGAGTGTAACCAGAGCAAAGACTATCAAAAATGTAAAAGCATCCGTATTGCAGCAGTCAGATGCTTGACTTGCTGTTATTCTCTTACCTTTGCACCTACCCGCATGCATGTTTTATTAAACCTAAAATCAATTTCTTATTTGGCAGAGTTCGCTTAACGCTCTTCATGTTGCTAGATATTCTCTTCGTAGCTGTACTTTTTATACTGTGCCGTTTATTACTTGAGAGACTTGGAGCAACTTAGGCTCTGTTTCCTCATTTCCAAACCAAGGCGAATTATGCCTGTCAGGCGAGTATTAAAGAACTACAGGTAGGGGCGCCTGGGTCGCTCAGCCGGGTTCCCGCTCAGGCCACAGTCTCAGGGTTCTTGAGTCCCCAGTTCGGACTCCACACTGACAGTGAGGAGCCTGCTTGAGATTCTCTCTCCCTCTCTCTGTCCCTCCCTCTCTCTCTCTCTCTCTCTCTCTGCCTCTCTCTCTCCCTCCCTTTCTCTCCAGATTAATAAACTTTAAAAACTTTTCAAATAATAATAATAATAATAATAATAATAATAATAATAAAAGAACTACAGTTAGAGGAAGCTGGTAGCACTGGCTTGAGTCAGGGTTCAATACAGGGTCACTGTTGCTACTGTTTCACTCTGAGTTTAACCTTCCATTCCCTTCTCTTGTGATCTTTTGCTGTGGGTCGGTGTTTTTACAGTTGTGATCCCTTGAATATTTGCAACAAGAAAACTCGTCCACATAGTTTATTTCACTTGATCCTGCCCGCACCCCTTTAGGCCTCATTCCCATCTGCAGTTGGAGAACAGAGAGGTCTGTGGTCTTAACCTGCTGCCTCCCAGCTGGGACTCAGCTCTTCTGACTCCCTGCCCCTCCCGCCCCCGTGTTCGTGACGCCAGGCTGCCCTCCGTACACGGGACTGGGGTCCAGTCTGGTTATTTTCCTTTAACTCTTTTATGAAATTTTTGTTTTTGTTTTAGAGAAAGAATGCATGAGCACGAGATGGGCAGGGGCAGAGGGAGAGAGAATCTTAAGCAGCCTCCACGCTCAGCACCAGGGCAGAGCCAGACTCTGGGCTCAATCCCGTCACCGCGAGATCATGACCTGAGCCGAAATCAGGAGTCTGACGCTCCACCGAACGAGCCACCCAGGCGCCCCTAAATATTGTTTTATATAAAAAGTCTGTGTTAGAAAAGGTGCCCCCCAAACATATTTCAAAGTTACTTTCTCACTTTGGTTTCAAGCAGAGGGAACGCCTTTCGAGAGAGGGACAGACTGTAGACCTGACGGTCAGGGGAGGCCAGAGAGTGACATGGGTGCAGAGACCAGAATGGAGTGAGTGAATGAACTTTGCCTAAGGGAAGAGCATCCCAGGGAGCGGGAACAGCACACCCACCAAAGCCCTGAGAAGAAATATGTTTGAGGGGCACCTGGGTGGCTCAGTCGGTTGATTTCTGCTGGGTCATGACCCCAAGGTTGTGAGATCGAGCCCCGCCTCAGGCTCTGAGCTGGGCACAGAGCCTGCGTAGGATTCTCTCTCTCTCCCTCTCTCACACACCTTTTCTCTCTCTCTCTCTCTCTCTCTCTCTCTCTCTCTCAGATATCTTAATTTTACCTTTTGAATAAAGATATAAAAAATAAACTAAGTGCCTTCACATGTTGCGTTGTTAATAGCAGAAGCCTTTTCTTGGCAGTGAATAAATCTAATTTACGGAAAGCTAAATCAAAAAATAGAGCATTCTCTAGCTCACTGTTCTGCTTTGTCCTCACAACACTTCATGAATTGACATCATGTTGTGTATTTCGGCGCGTTTTGTTACCTGCCTTCCCCAGAAAAAATGTGAAGTTCCTCCAAGGGAGGGCGGCGTCTCACTGCTGTATCTTAACTTCTGGTTCTGCGCACGCACGTAGAAGGTGATTGGATGCATTTGAAAGGATGTCTTGAACGAATGAAGGAGGCGTTGTTGGGACAGGTGATCCACGGGCCCTGAGCGCCCCACCCCGTTCCGGTAGGACGCGCCGAGGACAGGGCCCTGCGTCACTGACCAGGCCACTTGAGAGAGTTGTGTTTGCAGCAAGGGGCCGTAACAGATGAGGTGACCTCTCCCCCTGGGCAAAGGGGGTCCCCCAAGCCCAGGGTTCCTCTCCTGTAACACAGTCGCCTGCCCGTCCGGGTGTCATCACAGGCTCTTTCTATAACCCCCGTGGGATTTGGGGAGCGTGGGGAGCCAGCACAAATGAACACGGAGGTCAGGCCGCAGCTTTTGCCCGGAGGAATAAAGTCCTTTGTCTCTGACCCACTGTGTCTGTCTTCTGACAACATCTGTGAACAGTTACACAGTAGCTTGTTGCTTGCAAGTAAGGTCAAGTCCCGGACCCTGCACGGTACCCGGTTCCCCACAGGCACTTTGCTTGCTGATTTTTAAATTACAACGAGCAAAATCATTTTGCCCCTCGGGGAATTTTCCTTGATACATTGTTCTTCCAAATTTAATAACCGAGGCAAAAGGTAGGAACAGTATGATTGTTCTTTTTACATATTTCCAAATCGTACCTTAGAGAGATTTAATGGATTTATTGTTCTCTCGGCCTCAGCTTTGGAGAAACAAGAGAGAGAGAGATTGACAACCTCGCCAAAACCAATTTTTCTGTCACTAGAAGAAAACTGTTTAATTGGTGTATGATCATGTATTTTGCTTTAATTTGCCTTTCTTAATGGCTAAGCATCCTGCATTCTCCCACATGGTGATATATTTTCTATACATCCTTGTGTAGATCTGTTCGCCCCATTTTAACTACTTTATACAGGAATCCAGGTACTGACCCTAGGAATATTGATCAATTGCAATGTAATTGGGGAGCAGATTTTCATCAGTGCCGTTGTCACATACCTTGTGCACTGTCATTCCTCTCTTTGCATTTATTCCATCACGTCTTGTTGAACACAGTTTTCTTTTATGGGCGAGGACACGTCGATCCTGCCTCCCTCAATGTCCTTAATTTATTCTGTCATCTTAAGTTGCTTTCCTGCCCTCTCTCGCTGCTATTAAAGTTTATGAATAGATTTAGAAATGTCTCTGGTTCCTCTGGAGTCGTGTGTGACACAGA